CTTTTTTAAAAAGTTTTTGGTCCAAGAAACACACTTTAGAAGAGTTCATGTACAGAGTCAGGTGGGAATGTCCTTTGACACCAATTTTTCTTTTTGACACTGACTCTCTGCTTGCTCTATTTAGAGATGCTCCTCCAAAGATTGTCTTTTTAGCATTGTACCATTTCTTTATCTTTAATTTTTTTTTCTGATATTTCTTTTTGTACTTTTTGAAAGTATATGATCTTGGTGATACAAAAATATGAAGCACAATTTTCCCTACAAAACTTCTATGTCAACACAGGAGACATGACCACCTGTTTTTTTAGTTTATATTTGAGACTTATTCTCATTTGAAACCTTTTGAGGTGATTTATAAGTAGGATGAACCACTTGAAGCTTTCTGTTTATTGGGAAGATGCAAGCGTCACATCATAGAGAACAGGCAAAAAAACCACGTTGTTGGTAAGAGATGCAGGATTTTATGTGCCTGCCTGTAAAGGAATTTAATGTCCAATTTGCTGTCCAATGACAGAAAACTCTGTATGGTTGGGTTGAAAATGTCTCTGCTAGTCCTGCCAGAGACAGTCTTTTGATTTGGAGCTTCACAGGTTCTATGCCTGTTTCTGCTCGCAGAAAGCCAGKGAAAGGTGACAAGTTATGCCCCGGACAATGAAACTCACAGAAGTATCTCAGCTGTCAGAGATCTGAGTCCATGGGACCAGCTGCCGGACGCTCAGCTGGACAGTGTTTCCTTTAATTCTAATGCCAGTGCCTTTCTGACTGTTTGCTTTCGAATMTCTAGCAGTGTTTCTGTCCTGGTAGTACATTCCCAGCATCTCATCCAAACATTATCAAACAAATACTGTCTGAACYGAAGCCTGACAGGCTGTACTACAAATTGTAGTTTTGTAAAGGTATGGTTGGGCTGCAGCAGATGAAGACAGCTGCTAATGAAAGCTATTTCTGTGCCAGCATGTACCTGAAGACAAAAGCTAGACCCAACATGCATAAGGCATCTGGTTYTATTCCAGTGGCATATGGCAGCTTCATGACCTTATCAAGATGTCACCCTCATAGCAGCATCAGCCAAGGGCAAGGTCAATCAGCCAAATGTGGAGGGAATTACATATTTTAATATCTTCTCTGACCAAGGTGTTTTGCAATCACAGCGAGTACTCACATCGCTGGGTAATTTTGCAGAGGGCAAGGGTACAGCTGCTGTGTTGCCATTAAGTCTCCCATGCTTGTACATGACCACCCTGTAAAAGATAAGGTAGACACTGAATTATAGGTGAAGATTGCAGGGTGTCTAGATAGGCCTCCACAAGATATGTGCCTACAATTTTGGACAATGCTATTAAATATGTGTTTTAACTTTTATGTTCCTCTGTGTGGATACAGGAGTTGGACTAGGTGATCCTTGTGGATATCTTCCAAGCCRTGATTATGTGATTCTGATTCCTGGGGCTGATCAGTGCATGAGCCAGCCTGCTGTACTATATTAACCTTCCAATGGATGGAAGACAAAATATAAAGTTGCTCAGGCATGTGAAATGYGTGGGTGTAATGACCCAGATGTGTAACCGGCTGACGAATTCTTAGAATCAATCAAAGATGAATATCAAAATATGACCTTAGCAATCTTAAATATGCCAATTAAAAACAAAAAGGACCCCCAAATAACTCTGGATGAATAARTGTGGGGAAATTACTTTTAATTCTGTTCTGGCTGGCTTTTTCTCTAGGTGAGGGAAGGCTATTGGCACATGTAAGTACCATTAACACTTCTCAGGGGCAACAGAAATCTGTTATCTCGCAGGCTGGGAATAAAGTCACCTCAAGAGATAGGCCTCAGATACTCAAAGACAGATAAGTGACATTTTCTCAGTATCTGGTGCCTGACAGTCAGCTTTCCAGGCTTGTATGTGCACCTCTGTKCTCTACCTGGCCGTATGCAAAAGGAATCCCTTCCTTCCAATGGGCAGTGTGTTAAGGGCAGATGGCAGMATCCCCCTGAAGGTCTGTGGAGCTCCAGGGCCACAGAGGATACAGCTCTACCCCACAATGCTCCCCAGCCTGGGCTCTTATCAGCTGTGGCATGCCCCCAGGARTGATGGAGGCTGGAGCAATTGCCAGGGTGAAGCCACAGAGGCGGCACCATTTGTTTTAGTTCTGGAGTCAACTGCAAGGAGTGAAAGATCTCCTGCTCTGGGGCCCTGCAGGTCATCTGATAAATACTGCTCTTTAAGGGCYTTCCTCCTGCCCAAATGTGGCTGCATATAGAGCAGGCACATGCATGAACTTGTAGCGACAGATGTCTACTTTGCTGGGATGTGCCATGTTTGACAGAGTGATCTGCGAGTTAGCGTGAGGCTGGAGAGTAAGCATTGCTGTTTGCTATAAACAAACCTTAGCAAAGTGCCTGTAATTGCACTGTTAGAAGGTTGGCCAGGCCTAGATGGTAACAGGGGAGGAAAATAATGCTTTCTTTTATCTGTTCTTGCAAACAGCTGGAGACAGATAAAAGCGGAGACAATTTTAACCTAAGCAAAGATTGTGACTGTGTGTTTTCCTTTGTTCCTCAGTGCTTTCTGTTTTCCTCCAAGTTACATTTTTATTTGCAAATGAGACTATGCATAGAGCTGCTTCTGCATGTTTTTTTCTTTCCCCCCTCTTCTTGTTTTTCTTCAGCTTAAGGAGATCCCGTTTTTCTTCAAACTCAACTCCTGTGGCTTCCTCTGCTTCAGAAGTATGTGAGGACAACAGACTCTGTACTTCGTTCTGCCTGTGCCCCACAGCTTCCAGGGATCTGACACAAAGATGAGATGATCATTTTCCATGACTGACTGTCACTGAGGGGGTAGTTTTGCCAAAGTATGGTTGATGTAAAACCATTCTGAAGCAGAATTTTCAGATTTTCCAGTAACAGAATACATTGGTGTAAGATAGAGAGAAAAGGAATTGCTATCTTAAAAACAAACAAGCAAACAAACAAAAACCTTCTGTTTTTTCTCAAGAGAAAATTTTCAAATTCTAGCCTTCAGAGTCAGTAATAAATTGAGTTGACATAATCAAAATTACTTGCCTAAGCTTCAACATAATGCTTTGATACCGTTGAAATTGGACTGTGTCTCTAATTTGATCCCCTGTACTAATGTTTTGGTACAGCAGGAAGAGGTCCCTTTGCTAAACTTTTCAGTTGCTCTTCTGCAAGACAGACCAATCCAGTAATGAATAATTCCATCAGGGTAGCTCTTGCAGGCACACAGGCTCATCTACATAGGGAGTTATTCCATTCAGTTTTTCCTGACTAAATCTGCTGTGGGTGTTATTGAAACAGAAATAGCTGTTCTGTTGTACAACTTGTGTTAAAACACTCTTTTCCTCTGTTAATTGCAATCTTTAATGGCTCTGCATATTTTCTACAGGTATAAAAAACGAATATTACTTTAGATATATTCTTACCSTACTATGTATTTTCCATATATCTTGCTGCTCTCCTTTAAAAATTAAAGACTATTTGAAGCACATTACAAGCTGTATTGCCTACAGACTTCTTAGGTATGCTCTATGGCAAGCCAAGATGATTTCACAATTGCATTCCTGCAATTTCAGCATCTGTTAAATAAAGGCACAACTATTTTCTTCCAGCTGTTCTCTTTGATATTTAATTATCTTAAGCTGCTCTGTGGAAACACAGGCATAGCAGCATAGAGCAGTTTGTTCAAAATAATGAGAAAATGCCCAACTCTAGTCTAGGGTATCATATGTGTAGAGTGAGAAGCCTTGTCTTTCAGCTCAGGTCTAGAATTTGGAAAGGAGCAGTTCTGAATCCTTGCAGTATTTAACATGAATATATTTTTATACAATGAGTCCCAGTAAGTCTGATTCTGTGCACCYATAGTTTTAAAGGCAACCACTGTGCTGTGTAATTCTCTGCTTAAGACTGAATTGTCTTGATTTGTGACACCGAATAAATGAACAAACATTAGAAGAATTAAATAGATTGGACTTTTAAAAGACACTAAGAATCTTCTTTGTCACTAATGTTTGTTTAGTCAATATAATCTGATTGTTTCTATGTGGTACCTCCATTTTTAAAGGATGGAGATACAYTTTGCAATTTGTTTCAAAACAAACCTGTTTCTGTTTTATAAACTTGTATTAAAATGCTTTACATGTTCATTGTAACTGAAAAGAAATGTTCAAACATTTTGTATTTTTCAGCCCAGAAATACTAATTTTTAAATTATATATAAATCAAAACAACTTTGCTATAGAGAAAGTTTAAGTTGCTCTTTGCTGTCCTTTTAAAAACAAAGAACTCGTATTTCTAAGATGTGAAATAACATAAACCCCCAAGACAAATAACCATCACTTATGTGTTCTTAATATAYACATGATTCTTACCTGTACATATGCATATGTACAATTTTTTTAATAATAAATAAGAGCAAAAACGGATTATGAAACTTTTACAGTTCTTTATATCAGGGCTTGAAATGTACCTAYACTTAAACTCATCCTTATGCCTTCAAATTTCTGATTGCTCATTCTAACTCTGCACTTTTCTTRCAAGATACACTATAATGAGAAATGGTGGATAAGAATTTTCAAATTTAAATTAAGCTTTTCAGAAATAAAATCAGTTTTATTTATTAAAATAGTTGTACTGTGTACAAAAGRAGTTACTATAATTTACAATACTTAAGGCATAGAGTATTGGGGAGGGGGTTTGCTTCCACTGGAAGAGAGGTATTTTAGAAATAAAGGATAGTTAGAATCAGACATTGATAGTAGTATTAATATAATAATATAATAATAAATACTTCACATTCATATAATCTGAATTTATAATAACCCAGGTATTTCAGCATTCACTAATACATCTTAATCTGCCTCCAACATGTAGGTAGAAGAGTCTTCTGTAGCTTATAGAAGAAAAGAATTGCATGATTCATRGCGAGGGTTTTACCAACCCTGAGATATATCCCCTTTTTCAGTTGCACAGYTGCCAGCTAGCAGAACTCCAGGAGGATGGTGAGCAGGCAAGTGACTGCAAGCACTGTTTGCTGTAATCTTAACCCATTAGAATACAGTCTGATAATTTCCTCCTTTTCCGATTTCAGTTCTTAAAAAAAATCAAGAAAATAAAATGGTTAATGAGTAAATATGTAAATTTGAAAACAGAAGGATTTTCAACATACTTGAAAAGTCCTCTGACATCTCACAGGTACTTAAGTTAAAGGCATCAGCTGTTAAAGCCAATCAAAGGGACTATTCTCAGGGGAGAGATGTAAATAGATGTCCCATCAATGATCGTTTGAGGAGCAACTGATAGCACTTATCAGCTCTTGCAGGCATTAATCTCAGAATAATCAAAAGTAAATAACAAGCAAAAGCAAGAGGAAGAACTTCACAAGAGGTATGTACTGAAGCATGAATGCCGGCCTTTAACCCTTGGTTTAACAAGGAACTCCGCGTTTAGCAAAAGCAGGAAAGCCATATCCTCATGTGCTCGAAAGCAGCTCAGAGGGTTCTCCACTGAGACCATCTTGCCTTTTTTAGGCTGCGCTGAGAGCAGGAAACAGCTGACAGCTTTTACAGAGCATGGGGATGCTCATTGTGTCCTTTGCTCCCATAATCAGGAACAATAGGGCTGATTCAAAGGTGAACATGTGAAGAGTTTAAGGAGCAAGCTGTGTGCCACATGTAACTGCTCAATACAGAAAACCTCAAGGGAAAATGTGGTTTTAAAAACACCTCGGTTTTAAGACTCAAAGGTGGTGGGTCTTAAATTTGCTGCTTTTTTTTTATTATTTTTTTATTTTTTTTTGTCTGGGGTTGCAAACATAGGAATGTCACCTTTCTAATGTTTTGATTTGCATCTGAGTTGGTGCTACAACTCAGAAGTCACAGCTTCAAGGCACTGCTACTCAGGTAGGAATCTGGTCAGGAAACAAGAGGCTGCTTGGGGTGCAAATGACTCTTGAAAGTCTTTGGGTCTGTTGTTTTCTTCCCTATGCAAGAGTACTGAATACAGCCTGGATCAGTCAGTTCTCCATGGAAAAAAATATCAGTAAAACAATTCTTTAAGTCTTTATGCTAGTTGATGCACTATCATATTTTTAATTTCAAAAGTATTCAACTATTTATTCAGGGATGTTCACAGGCTGATAGAGAAAGTATTGTCTTAAAATGATATAGTGGTTTTGAGGAGACTAGATAGCAGTCTTTTACACTGCTCAGGACTATGGTTACATATTTTTTTGTGTGGAGTGTGTTCAGTCTTAAAACTCATACAAGAATATTCTGAAGATTGTAGAACATATCTTAAAACAAGATTTATATTAATTTTGTGACATTTATGTGTTACGATCGATGATTCTGTGTGTTAAGTAGCTTGTGTTAGTTTTCAGTTCTTGTTTCTCTAGTGTAATACCGGTTTCTACCTCTATCACAGCAGTATACGCTACTTTTTTTTTTTTTTTTTTTTTTTTTTTTTTTTTTTTTTTTTTTTNTTTTTTTTTTTTTTTTTTTTTTTTCTCTTTATCTAAAAAAATATTTGTATACTTGGATTTAGTTTAGTTGTAGAAATTGTATTCTGGTTAAATGGGAAGTCAGACATCTACAGATTTTGCAGAACAGAGAAATGTTTAACCTCGGTAATTTTCAACTAGAATGGTGGAAAGTTTCCTACGGCACAGAATTTTAAAGAGCTGAAAGTGTCTTATGTGATGTAATTTATCGTCAAGTCAAGAGCAGTTTTCTACTGCCTCACTAATGCATTCTCTGAAGCAAAGCTTCACTAGTRTAACTAGTGCACACGCAGCAGCCTCTGAGTACCCCACCACTGCAGAAGGCAATTCTGTCACCCACGGGATAAAAATGTTTGATTTAACGCCATTTCTTACCACAGTTATTGTACATTACTTCTGAGAGACAGTTCAGAGTACCGTAGCCGCATCGACARAGCCAGCAGCCCTTCAGCACCCAGACGCCGTGAGCAATGCTGCCGCAATTGCTGCCAATGACAAGGGAGACATTTGCTACATCCCTGACCCCAACACAGGAAAAAAAATTAAAAAAATCCAGTGCACCTCACTAATTTCCTTTTTTTTTTTTTTTAAATTTCTTTTTTTACCTTTGGCGCTCATCGTGCTCACAGTGTCTGCCGGTGAAGTGCTTTAGGCAGGCACAGAAAGTCCCCAGGATGCAGGTCCCTCCATTCTGGCAGCAGTGTCTGTTCAGTTTTTTACCTGCAAGACAATATTACAGAGGTTAACAAGCATCTCAGGGGCCCTGAACCTCACCTTTTCCTCACTTGTCCTCAAAGGTCTCTCCAGTTCTCAAAGGATCTTAAGGATATCTAGTTTTATTGTCTTTAAAGACAATAAAATTATATGCCTGTTAGGACTGTTTGTTCAGCTAAACCCAGTTTGTTTAGTTAAGGATTAGAAACAAGCTACTAGGGATTACAGGATGGTGAAGAAGCAACGCCTGGCAAATCCTTGGGGCAGCAGCATGTGTTCAAGTGAAATATTTCATTTTGACAGACACAGGTTTCAATCACACTAACAAATTGGACATTTTTACTGGAAAGTGCTGCTTATTTTTAATAAAGAGGTTTAGTTACTGGGCAGTTATTTGGTTTTTTTGCTCACCTAACCCCTTCTCAGACTACTGGGACTGAGCACCATTCTAAAACTTTATGTATGTTGTAGGAAACAGAATATTTTTTCTTTCTTTTTTTTTCTGTTAGTACTGTTGATTTCAGGCAGCTCAAACATTTTTTTCTTAAAAAAAGATTTTTTTTGGTCATGAAATACCGTGAATCTAAAAAAAAATGAACAGAATTTAATTTATAAATTTCTACAAATATTTTTCCAAATACAAAGGACCAARCTATTCTTCATTCGTAGTATCCTTCCTTGTTTTTCCTTAGAACATTTTGCAAGTGAGAGATCTTCAGTTGTACTTTAAACTTTTATCACCGTTTATAAAGTGGCCACGTATGTAATTTAAATGAGTGACCACAGAAAACCAACAGAATGGAATCTTCCAGGACAACACTTAAATCATTACTATATTATATTTTTAAACGCAATTTAATGTCATTATTTACATAAAAATGTTACCTACTCTCTGTAATTCCAGTGAAAGGTACGAATGACCTGGAACTCTGYTGCTTTCTGCTTTCATAACTCTGATTCATGTCACTGAGAGCGTTTATAAAGGCCCCTTCGTTCTTGAGCTGCTGCTTTTGTGCTGTGGCATTGAGACTTTTCACGTCTTCTTTACGTTCTTCTTTTTCACGGCCTTGACAAGAAACGCAAACGTGGAAGGGAAGGGTAGTTTGAAATGAAGAAATGCGCATTGTAAGTGTGCAAGAGAACTCGGCGGGGCGGGGAGAAACACGAAGATTCCCTTACCTTTTCCTAAACGAACAGCCTGCCAGACCAGAGTCACAGTGAAAAGAATTCTGAAAAGTAA